CACTCACTCACTCACTCACTCACTCACTCACTCACTCACTCACTCACTCACTCACTCACTCACTCACTCACTCACCACCACCGCCACCGCCACCGTCACAACGATCCCCACCTTCATCACGTGCACCATCACCTCTCTGGACCCCAATGCGTCTAGATCTCTAGACTTTCTGCTTACAGACCTCACACACACTGTTTGGGGTCTCTTGCTGGGATAGTTTAGAGGAGTAGGTCAAGATGATAACTTATTGACGGTATGTAGCTTTTGATTGACAATACTTCGTTGATGATTGCATGTTTGTACAGTAGTTCCTTTTGCGTGGTTTCAATCGCTGCAAATTTGTTTGGTTTATAATTGGCTCGCGGCTTGCTATTGTGATGTGACTAAGGTTTCTTCCCTTTTCTAGTTCTTAGACTGAACAATGGGGAATCTACTGGTACAAGGTCTTGACCCACCGCTGGGCGAAACTTCGAACAACATATCAAAACCACAGCGGCGGCTGAGTGGCTGATTCACTGATGGCTTTCACCAAGGCACGGGCGTTAGAACAGCAGCTGGAGGCAGGTGCACGAACAATACAAGATCAAAAGAGCCCGGGAACCCAATCTACCATGGGCAAATAACGTTGGAAAAGTGATCAAAACATGAAATTTGGATTCAGGGTTATGACAATGTCCTTTTGAATCTTTTGATTGAAGTGAACTGAAAAGAACAAACCAACCAAAAATTGACTGCTGGTGTGACCCGGTCACACATCGTTTCCGCTGAGATCAAGCTTTGGACATCTTGCGGAATGCGGCGGAGGAAAAGAAGATGAAGTGCCACGCATGGCGGGTCTCAAACATGTCAAACCCACATTTTGCTGTGTTGACCACCAACCCGTAACCCCAAGGGAGAGAACCGTTTTGCGGTGATGATGGTGATGGGATGTTTCCACTTGATGGGATTTGCTGACCTTTTGGATTTGTTATCATCAACTGCAGTTTCGTTGACAACTCATCATTTCACTGCAGAAAAAACGTCCTGTTCAGTCGCGGTTGGGAGGTACTCCATGCAGCTGGAAGAGCAGCTCCTACAGCAGGTGGGCGAGAGAATAGAAGGGAAGGGAAGGGAAGGAGGTCGGGAGAAACAAAGAGCAGGGTTTGGATGTGCATTTGTTTGGAGCATCCTGCAGGCCACAGGTGTACATAGCCTGGTAGATTGCTTATGGAGAGTCTATTTTGGAACATTGGAACGGGATTAATTATCCGTTCCCCACATGTAAGTTGATGCCTTTGAAGGGAATGATGATGGGATATTTTGGAGATGTGTTTCCCTATGTTGTTCTCTTGATCACCCACAGCAGTTGGTCAATTCGAGGAATGCGATATAGACATTCGGCGATGGATATGGAGACACCAAACCCACAGGACCACGTTGTAAAACCTTTTGAATAACAATCAGTTGATGATCCTCGTTTTGCCACAAGCGATCCGCCACAACATGGCGTTTTGGGTCGATGCGACGATGAGTGGACTCGGCGGATTGCCCAGGAGTTTGAGCTGGATGAGCAATGCCATCAGCAGATCATGCAGTTGCAACAGGCGTCATCCGGCACGGTGGCCTTGGTGGCCTGAAGACGGCAGAGAGCACCACCCCTCTGGACTCGGCACCGCGAGCCATCGGTGTACCGAGAGGATTCCTCGAAGCCCTCATGAGGAGCTGATCCCTAAACCAGCAAGGTGGCGAAAAGCTCGCGGAAGCACTCGGAAGCTCCCTAAACCGTGACGTCCCCCTACAAAATACGATAAAAGGGGGGTTCTGGGGAGTGTTGGTTCATCAATCACCTCGTTGAATTGTCTTTGACGATTGCCTTTTGTTACTTTTTCTCCTGGAGTGGTTAGCACAAGTGGTTGTAGCGATGATTATGCTTGGACAAAAACTTGTTGCAAGCACCGCAGAAGACCGTTTTTCATTGCGTTGGTTTCTGGTGGAGTAGTTCTTCTGCTTCAACTTGTTCATATCGGTTTTGGTCATCACTTGGGCGTTCTTCTTTGTTTCCATCTTTGGGTTCTTCTTCCTTGACTTCTTCTTCATTAGTTTCTTTTGGTTTTGGTTGCTTCTCTTCGTTCTGTGTTCCCTCTTGCTCATCCACTTCGTTTTTGATTTCTTCCTTTGCTTCTTCGGTTTCTATGTCCTTCACGACGATTTCAGTCATATATATGAATATAGATTTCTTTTAAAAAAATGTATATATTGAAGTCGTTAGTCGTTGAGTAGGATTATCAATGTAACTTTGATAACGACAATCTGGGCATTGAGGTTCTTGTAGAGCATTTAGTCTTGTTTGACTGCATAAGGTCAACGTATAGGAAACCGTGCTTGTCGTCTGTTGCTATTCTATAGATTTTGTCCAATGTCTTTTTGTCATACAGACCGCTTAACTCATCCAATATTGTTTCCAAGTCTTTATGATTACGAAGTCTGAAGATAAACAGTTGTGTGGCGTTCTTTCTGACCATTGGTGATTTTTGTGTGTAGGACTGTGAAGTGATGAAGGTTGAGATATACCAATGCCTACCTTTAGTGAATAGTTTGACTAAGTCCTTGCTCTTTCTGACCGTTCGTTGTCCGCCCAGTCGTTCATGATGATACACATGTTATAGAGGTGTTTGTATTCCTTCTCCTTCGTATACTTGATTACCCCTTTCTGTGTGTCTATGATGTTCTTACGGTCTTTCTCCTCAAAGTTGTCAAAATAGATGGGGTCTTCGTCTGTGTGCTTAATATCCATTTCACGTTCAATGATGTTCAATGTATTTATTCACTACCGTCCAAGTGTCATCTATAAAGACGGCCGGGGAGAAAATGTAGATATTCTCAAAGCAGTCTTTGTAGATGTCCATTATCAGATTTGTCAGCGCTACTGTTTTGCACGTTCCTGATGGAGCGTTTAATAGAATTCTTGCGGGAAGCGGTGCCATATAACCATACTTTGATTGCTTACTGCTGTATTCCTTGTGCTTATAGGGTTTTATATTTATCATTGAAAGATATTAAACATTGAACATATTTTGTTTATATTCTTATTGAAGGAAACCGTTTCGGATTCAGTCGCTTCAATCCGCATAAGCCGTTAATTAGTTTGGTTTCGTTGCCTCTCCTTTTTAGACAACCCCCGCGGTCTTGAGAACGTGATGATGACTATGCTGTGCGAATTGATCTTTTGATGTGTTCCCCAGCACTAATTAGACAATATATACATCAATCATATTGTCTAATTCTATCTAAAATGTAATATAGATGCCTCATACATGAAGATGAATATAATATATGAAGATTAATAAAAAAAACATACCGTAAGAATTTGAACTGTCCGATGAAGAACCAACAACAATAAAACTGAATGAAGAACAGAAACTAAAAAGCAAATTAATCACCTATGACTGTCCTTTATGCCATGGAAAACTACAATTCAGAAACGAAAGTCAAATCAACCCTAAAGGGATAAAGTGTAGTTGTAATCCGTGTAGTTTCAAAATCAGCAAGAGTGATAAGACTATGAGCGTCAGTAGGGTCGACAACGGAGACATCAAACTAGACACTGAAGCACATAGCATTTCCTTTTCGTGGAACAGACAAGTTACGCCAGAAGACAAGGACAAAGGACGCACTAACCGAATGACAAGCGATGTAATGAACACACCAAGAAGTGGCAAAAGAAAGTATCAATAGGTGATATGGGCCGATACACTAAAAAAAAAAACTATTTAAATAAACAAATATATAGTTTATTATATATAGTCATGACGGATGTTGAAGATGAAGTTAATAAAATGGATGAACTGATAAAGAAACTGAATAGATGCAATATCAACGTTAAATTAATACTAGAAATGTTAAAGAAGATGAATGAGAAGAAGGAAAGCAAAGAAACCACCGATTACAAAAAGTCAATGTCCAAAAGAATACAGCAACCGAAGGAGACCACCATACAATACTATAAGAGTGATTATGACATGGCTGTTTCGGTTCGGTTCGGTCCGGTTCACGCATGTGCTGACATGTATTGGGATCGGTTCGGTTTCGGGTCGGTTCGTTTGATGTTTTCAACGGTGGCGGAGACACATATTTAGAAAACAAACTTTGCGGACCTTGGGAACGTGTCTTTTCTGTAATGTCATTTCTTTGTTTGAATCGTAGTTTCGGGCACAAGCTAGCCGGTTGAGTCCCTGGCTGGATTTTCGGCATCCTGCCATGAGTGAAAGTTGTTGTCCAGTCACATGGCCAGTCCGAGACGTATTGCGTAGATGTGCCGCTGGAGAGCAAATGGCAAAGCATCATGGAAGGCTTCGCTTCCCACAGCGGCTTGCCATTGGATGGGCTGACTTTTTGGGTGGGAGATGAGAAGGTGTGTTGTGAAGACCGCTTGAGCGGTTGCACCAACGGCGCCTGTGGGATGGTGGTGGTGTCAGCCGACACCCAGTTCTCAGCTGATCTCAATGCTCTTGGGGATGCATTGAGGAAGCGGGCAGAGAATGAACATGGCAGTGCAAATAGCTTTTTTGAAGCAGTGTGCCCCGAAGACCAGATCATGACTTTGGAGATTTTCACGAGGCCAGAGTGTAAATCGTTTGGGCATCAATTTCCTTGGTGGGGGACAACTTGGAGCCAACTTTTTAGGACTTGAAAAGTTTTTGTTGACCATGTGTTGGTTTCCGCAGCAGCCGGCTTTGTCAGGAGGCTAAAATGTCGGAGCTGGGTGTTCGTGCTTGGAGCCTCTTGGTACCCCCAGGATCTGGCATGGTGGCCGAGATTTGGGATCGTTTGGTCTCTGTCCATCTCGAACTGCTCTCCGATGTGGAATTGAGAGAGCATGGGCGCCTAGATGTGGTAGTTTTGGACAAGTTGCCTCAGGGGTGCCTGGTTAAAGCTTTGTCTGAACCTTTTCAGGCCGGGTGGCAGGCTTTTTGCGTCAGCATGGGTATCCAATTATCGCTGCCATAGATTTACTTTCATCACTTTGAGCAGCAGGTAGGCCACATGCAAAGGGGATCCTCGTTGTTAGGTGGAAAGGCACGTGCGGAAAGGCGAGGGGAAAAGAAACTTTTCGGGCCTCGGAAAAAATTGGGGGGGGCTTGCGAATGATGAGAGCAGCTCTTACCCTACATGGCAGGTGTCTCCTGAGTCGTGCGCGCAGGAGGTTGAGGCCAAAGGCCACACGGGCTTCAGTCGGCTGGAGGACGCGCCTTGGCGGTTCGGCAGTGTGGAGTGGTGACCGCCAAAGAGGCACAGTCCGTGGCTGAGCTCGAGGCTGACAAGTTCGCAGAGGATTCGCGGGCAAGCAAGATTGCCGAGGAGCAAATCGGGGAGCGCCCCCAAACCTCCAAGAAAACATTTGGACCCTTGTTTTCGGTTTCTGCGCTTTCTCGCGAGGGAAGAGAAAGAATCGACTCGGCAAGGGATCTGTGAGGAAGCCTATGCTCTCGCTAAGAAGCACGTCTCAGCCAGGCCTTTGCACGGACACGAGAAACAAACCAGCCTGGAAGTGGCTTCTGGTGAGCCCATGCGGAAGTTTTTAGATGCCTTGCATGGAGAAGATGCGGCCCCGCTGCTTGAAGAATACAGCAGCCTGCAAGAGATAAAAAAGGCTGTGACATGCCAGGTTCACGGTTATGCTTCAGAGGTCCAGCTAACAGATGCTGACCCATTGCAATATTGGCGCCAGCACAGTGGGAAGTTCAACTTCCTCGCTCCATTGGCGCGGCGTTGTTTGTCCATCCCAGCAAGCACTCGCGATGTGGAGAGATTGTTTTCGTTGATCAAACGGCTCCTAAGGACGAGCGGTCAAGCGTGGGCATCAATGTTTATGCCACTGTGGGGTTCAACCTCAAAGCTCTAGAGATGTTTCCGTAAGACTCCAGGGGCGCCGTGAGTCGCAAAAAGACGCCACGTGCGAAGGCTATGCGATTGCTCTTGTGACCACAGACTTGTGGCAAGGGCCAGGGCCATGACCATCGATTCGGATGTTTTTCCTTTAGCTCCTTATCCCACAAGCGAGGCGCTTGTGGAAAAAACTTTTCAGGCCCCGAAATTTGTTTTTCCGCATTCGGGGGTTCGGTTCAGTTGCGGTACGGTGCCTACGTGAATGCTTCGGTTCGGTATTGTGCGTACCCTGACAGTTCGGTATCGGTTGTCTTCGCTTCGGTTCGGTTCCGCGGAAAAATATTGTTGAAACGGCCATGTTATGATGGGAACACGGAAACATACTCATATGTTTATATTTTCTATGATAACATATTATTTATGAAATTATTAGAACGATTTAGTGGCACTGGTAGTGTCGGTCGTGTTGCCCGTGAATTTGGTTTTAGTGTCATATCCTTATTTTTGAAGAACGCTAACATCAACGAAGATATCGTACAATGGGACTATAAGAAGTATGACACAGACTTTGATGTTGTTTGGGCATCCCCTCCTTGCACGGAATATAGCAGAGCAAAAACCACGGGAATTAGAAAGATAGATTATGCGAACAACATTGTTAAGAAAGCTATTGAAATCATAGATTATTTTCAACCGAGAGTATTCTTCATAGAAAGTCTGCAGACGGGACTTTTGAAGGAACAGGACTTTATGAAAGATTTTGATTACTATGATTCGATTATTGTAAGTATGGTTTTGAATATAAAAAGCGAACCAGAATATGGACTAATCTAAAGAGTTGGAAGCCCAGACCCTTATGTAAAAAGGATTGTAATAGCACAAATAGGAAACAGACACAAAGAGACCGCACAGAGACTACCGTGTAAAGGCAGATGGGAGGAACAAAGGAAGAAAACACAAGACGAACTATATAGGATACCCGAAGAACTATAATTTACGATTTAATATCAAACATGAGTTAAGGTTAATGAGTCAATGAACCTTAACGAACCTTTGAACTTGTTCAAACCTTTAGTATCTCGTGGCGAAGGAAGGGTTTAGTCAGCCCTTCCAGTTTGAAGGTTCTGTTTCCCGTCGTGTCGTATTCTATCTTCCTGACTTTGTAGTTTTCTGTAGACCATTTGCTGGTCGTATCTTTCCTATCCGTGTAGTTGCCTCTTCCCTTGGTAAAGATTTTGACTGTATCCTTCTTTTTTATCTCAACATACTTCTTCGTGTTCTTTTCTCTTCTTGTCAGATTTACTTTTGCATCCATGTGGTTCTTGTCATCGTGTGCTTGGTGGATGAGTGTTTGCTACCGCTATATTTTTTCAAGACGTGTGGAAACATACTTGTCCATCCTGCCTTATTAAACTTCACCCTGTCATAAACCATATTTTTTAAGGTTCTGATAAACCGTTCAACAACGTTGGCGTGTGTTAGGCTGATTATGTGATTGATGCCTTCAGCGTTAAAGAATTCTTTAACAACGCTCTTGAAAGTACCGTCATCATCGGAATATATTGACATACAATAACCCATCTTCTTAAAAGTCTCTTTTAATGCTTTCAATACACTCACCCCATCTTTGTTTCTCATTGGAACGGCATTCCCGAATTTATTGAAAATATCAATGACAACTAATGCATACCTTGGTTCATCATTTTTAGTGGAATTTTTGCTTCAGGTTCTTTGGTTAAAGGCACCATGTCCAATTATATCCATTTGGTATTCGAATTGGGCAAACGGAGCGGTGTAGGAATTATACTATCTACACTTTCTAATCTGTTTGTTCGGTTGTTTTGCCATAAATTGGTTTACATCTACTGTATTGATTGATGGGTCTTTCTCTTTTGTTTTCTTAAGTGTTTCCTGAACAGACCCGAAACCTTTATTGAGATAATAATAAACATTACTTGTAATATCATGTTTTGTTAATCATTTTGCCATATTATATTTTTTGAAACACAGTTTAAAAAATAAAAGATAAATAAGGATGAATAGGTATGAAAACGGTAAAATGTATAAAATCACTGACATTGGATACAACAAGTGTTAAATTGGAAGCACTTGCGAATGTTTATGTCAAAGAATGGCAAGGCCGCAAGGCATAGGGAAAAGTATGCGCATTATTTGAAAACAGGGAAGAAGCATACAAATGTTGTTGTTTTCTGTTTGATGAATCATGCATTCGGCATTGACAATTGTAAGATTGAACTGATTGAAAACTACCCTGCTGAAACGAAAGCAATGCTTCAAAAACAAGAAGGACACTACATTAGTCACTACATCAATAATGCTGACTGTCCTAATAAGAAGGTTGAGGGAAGAACACGTAAAAAATACCAAGAAGACAACAGAGAAAAAATAAGTGTGAAGGGGAAATAATTGTATGAACACAACAAAGAATAATGTGCTGAGAAAAGAATAAAAATATAACTCTTTAATGAAAAGGTCAATGAACAATCAAGAAAGAATTATTACAAACACCAAACTGAAATCAATGAGAAGCGACGAGAACAATACAATGAAAACACAAAGTAAATGATAGGAGATGAGAACTATATATCAACAACAAAGATGAGTTAAATGAAAAAAGAAAAGAACAGATTGATTGTGAATGTGGTTCAGTGATAAGAAAGGCAGATATGAGCAAACACCTGAAAACTAAAGAACACCATAACCACACCATAACTATACCCCATAAAACTTTACAGCCTATAAGTATAGCCTAACTACAACCCGTCAACCCAGACCTAGAAATAAAACACAACGACCTAAACAGCTATCCACCTCATCTTGAAACCATTTGTCCCAGAAAAGTTAGAACCCCAAAAACCCCAGACCCCCCCACACATAAAGCATCAACAGGAAGGAAAACACATTGAACATCAACCAAAAAAAAATAGCAAGCAACACACCGACAAATCCTCCCATGTTTCCCCCTCTCGTCCTGCGGCGTTCCAGGCCGCGTTCCAGCAGAAGTCACAACTGGAACATCAGGCATGAAGAGTGAAGAGTTGAAGAGAGGGAAGCTGATCGTATTAGGCTTGTTTTCTTCAACACATCGTAAAATTCTTGCTCTTTGATTGATTTAGTTGATCGCAGTATGAAGAAGATGAAACTTTTGTATAGTTACTATGTTCTTATACCAGAACAAAAGGGGCTCTTAAAGGCCCCAACCAAACGAACACACTCTTTGGGGAGTGAAGACTCTCTTGCCAGGTCTGCCAGGACTCTCTTGCTTTCCTCCCAGACCGTTACTCGCGAGTGGTCGCGAAGACTCGCGCCGAGACGACTCGCGAGGCCAGTTCGCTGATTATGGAGTACAAGCAGCGAAGCATGCAAGAGGTGCAGTGCAATCGATCAGTTCCGGGAGCGTGGAGTTCAGTACCGGTCCCAGTCACCGGTAGGACAATGAGAAACCTGTGTTACTGGCGGTGAAATCCAGAAGGAACCAGGTTTTGCAAGGCTGGAACAGCATGAAACAACATGAAACAACAGAAACTGGGTGATTCACTATGAACTGGTCAACAACCTCAGAGTCATCACTCACAACCCATAGTGAAAGGATCGGGAGTGCGATTGCTCAACAGCTTTGCCATTCCAAAGGTGAAATGCCATGCTGTCCAAGTTCCGGCCAAGACTGGATGAACATGGATGAACCAAAACCATCAACCACCAACCCCCATGCCCATGTTTGCAAAGCCTCAGACAAATGACTCCTCAGACCACCGGTAGAATTGTGGTTGCTTCTTGGATGCCCCCACGCGGCGCCAGCAAATGCAACAGCGGCTTTACGAGCAAAAGCTGCGACAACATCAGATGCGTTGGGTGCCCTGGTGAGGGTGCTCGAGCGGGACGAGCGGAAGAGAACCGATGGGTCCGACCTACTAGCAAGAATGCTCCGTTCGTAGCGATGCCAGGAGCCCCGAACGCAGCGTCCGATCGCTCCTATACTAGGAGGTTATTTTTGGAGGCTTTTTAGGTTGTATTGTGTTTCTTTTCTTCAGAACAGGGGTTTGTGGGGTCGATGTCCTCTTTCGACCTGTGCGTAAACACGTCGGACAACGTGCCGCGCGGACAACGTGCCGACACGGAACCTGCAGTTCGCCTGCCCTTCTTCGTGCCGTGCGACACGTCCAAGGTGAAAACATGCACCAAAAGATGAAAGATATGTCGTCAGCCGTGGCCTGTTACCAACCAAGAGAGGTTAAGTGACCTTATAGGACCCTACTGAGGTACCTATGGGATAGTCTATAGGGTCATTCAACCTCTGTTGGAATGTGTTGAGCACCTGGCTTGTTTGTATTTGGAGATCAGTGTGGATCGATGTTCGTGGGATGATGTGATGTCATATGGCAGTGGGTCATGTCAACAGGAGTGATCGTTCGGATCTCTATTCCGAACCCGAAGCTTCACTTGCAATCCTGCTGCAAGGTTAAACAAACACTTTGCGATGTTTTTTCGTTGCGGACTTTCGTATTATTCGAATGGAATTCTCTCATGGATCCAAGGGTTTCGTCTCAATTGGAGCAGCAAATTGGCCCAGCTATTCCATTCGAGCATGGACCGCTTTTGCCGCCAGGGTGAAGAAAGCGGCGCCGACCCCTGCGCAGGAGAAGTGTGCTGCGAGCGTGAACTAGCTGTGAAAACGGGCTCTGACCGAGGGGAGAGTCTGGAGTCTAGATGCTCCATACTATCAGGACCAAGACCTTAAAACATGTCAAACAAAATCAGTTCCGTTCCAAAAGGATCTTCTGCAGGCCAGGTTTTTGCAGCAGCCGACATATCGTCCCGTCAGACGAGCGTCTCGAGCGTCCGACCGGCGGTCCAGTTCTGCGGACGCATCACCGCTTTGTTTAACCACCCCAGTATGTACTGCCATCTGAAGCAATTGATATCTATATAAGCTGCTATTAGCTATATAATATATAAGTTGCTTGGTCAGAGCATGTCAGCACTTAAACTTGGATGTGGAAGGTTTGATTTGTTGGTGCTATCCTTTCGATGTAGTGCCAGGACCTGGGACAACCCCCCATGTACTGAGGCGCCTGGGACCCCAGTTGTCGGGCCAATCTGCCAAGAGGTGGAGAGGGTCTTCATGCTCCATCCGCACAGCGGAACAAATCCAAGGTGATTGGATCCCACTAGCAATGGTCTCCAACCTACTGGCGATGGCCTCCAAGGTGATTGGATTGTTTGAGACCTCAGAAGTTTCGGGGTACGCGTGTACATGCACGCGAGTACACGCCTCGCATATGAAGAACTGCCAGTGGATGGCGGTGGAGTCGGAGTGTGATTGATGACCTGTCCAATTGACTGTCCAAGCACACGGTGATGTTGGAGGATCGCCCAATTTCAGCGAATCACCGCTGGCGGCGCATCACACCTGGGATTTGTGATGGTGACCGCTGAAATCTTCGGCGCGGAGGAGCTTTCAATGACACGGTTGTAAGACCGGAAGGCCTGTGAATCCGATTTCTGCCTTGGCAGCCGGTCCTAAAGCCTGAAATTTACCTCACCACCTGTTTGCTGATCCCCGCAGACCTTGCCCTCCAAAACAAGACCCTTCATAGTCCTGATTTTGCTTAGTAAGAACATATTATTGATTTTGCCTATTGGGTGATCTCTTCTGGCATGGGGAATACGTTGTTTTCTGTTCCCGAGAGCCGCAAATCCCAGGAACATATGCTGCATAGATGCGGACATGGCCGCCCCAAGATCGCTGTCATCCGATGGATCCTGTGCTTTTGAGCGGTCATCCCGATGTTGAATTCCAGAAGGAACTTTTTGGGGGCGAAGCCGGCGCAGAGCTCCCAACAGGTCGCAAGTGAGCGAATGACCGAATACAAGAGACAATCATATCATCAACCGACCCATGAGGAAGCGTCGCATGCTGGTGTCACCGACCCATGCCGTGCATTTCCTTGAGGTGAATGCATTCAATCTGTGCCAAGCTGAGCGATTGCTGAGCTTGGGTGAATCGCATATAGGTGCCATTGAACCAAGAAGACTGTTCATCGAGTCCGAAGTATGCCCCAAATCGTTCCTGAGTCCTGGCATTACTCTTCCCAACAGGCTACCTTAGCAAGAAGCTACTAGTAACTATAGCTCCTGGCATTACTTACTAGTAACAAGAAGCTACGTAGCTCCTTCCGTCACCGAGGTCAACCGCGGAGGGGCGAACCACTGCGGGGATGACGAATGACGTGCGTCGTGCGTACCATAGGCAAATGAAGCGAAAAGGACCGGGGAAAAAAAGGCGGGTCATCGAGCAGCTCCGGAGCTTCTAGAACGGTTTTGAACAGAAGCGCGCGGTTCTTCAAACTCGCAGGTGGGGCCGCAACTTTGGTATATAGACGTGTTGTTTCAGAGCTCGGTGAAGTTGCTGGATGCCAACTGGCCATGCGACCTCCAACGGTCCCTCTCCGGTCCCTCTCCGGGCGTCGTCGTATGTCGTCGTCCGGAGGTCCATCTGCACCGTCCGGGGGTCGTCAGATCAATCGGAAACTGCGGTGAGTGGACCTTCAGTCGTCAGGTCCGTGGTTTTGTGGGGCCCTATCACGACGACACGAGTCTGGGACTGGCAGATTTACAGGATGGGGTGATTTACAGAATGTCACATGTATACCCGTTCGCCTTCAGTGGTTGACCACTAAAAGAATGGTTGTCACTGATGGTGTGATGATTCCAGATCCTTCGTAAAACGGTTGATCGAATCCTAGGGTATACGGTAAGTCCCACTGGTCGTGTCTGGGATATGATCCCAGACCCACAGGGGGTTCGATCGCCCACAGCCCACCGTTCTTTTCGGGACAGCAAGACGACGTGGCACTCATCGGAGCCGGGAAGAAGGTGGAGTGGTCCGGGAAATGAATCTGTTTGTGATCAGCAGGTCCTTTGATCATTTGGTATCCTTTGAGGTCCTTTCTCTTCATGCTGAAGGCGCATTTTAGCTTTGGGTATAGCTTGGCGATGCTTGAGGTAGACTCGTGTTGAACTGCCGTTCAAAGACAGCTCATCAAGGCGACCAAGAGCCCAAATGGTATTCATGTAATGATTTGCACATCGGATGCGGGCAAGCCTGCAGGGCGACCGTAAAAATAGACACAATCTATAGATCTATATCTATATATATTAATTAAATATTATTAAACATATTCGCTGTGGATCAAAACACCAAGGGGACGGACCGCTTGACCGACTGCGGCGTGACTGGTCATTCGCTACATTGGTGGACTGGTCGGGCTCCAATGTATTACGATAAGTATTACGATGTATCGATCCATCACAGTTACGAATGCTGCAGCTTATTGCATCAACCAGTTGTTTTGAGTTTGGGACTCCTTCTTTTTGAACCCGATAGATAGCCCTATCCTGCCCCAGCATCCGATAGCATATGCATCCATGGTATTCACCGACAGAGACAGACCGTGCCTTTCGACCATGCCATGGGCGCCTTGCTGTGCCTCGCGCGGACGCCCGGACGGGCACGCACGCCGCAGTGCGGCCGACCGCGGGTGTGGCCGACGGCGGTGGGTGGTCAGGCCCGAACGAGTCGAGGGAGACACTGTCCGCTGTCGGCAGAGTCAAAGAATCCGCCCCTGCGAAAGATCTGGAGTTCGGAAGCGAGTTCGGGTTCGCATCCAGGGTTCCCTGGGTCTGGCTGGCGATCTCGCCGGAGTCATTGTCCAACTGGGGTGGGATCCTTGAAGATCCTTTCAGATCTTTACGGCAGGTTTCATAGAAGATCATAGAAGTAGTTGGAGGGACAATTTTTTTGGGTCAATCATGGTCAATCCATGTCGAATGCTGTTCTGAACTCGATCTTGCTGTGAGCCGATCAATGAGTGACCAGCTGTCGATGATTTGGGACAAATTTGGACATTTGATGGGCATAGGTCAAGGATGGTAGATGTGAACCCGTCCAACTCAGCGGCGCAGCGGTAAGGTGTTTTCTGTTCAATCCAGGTCAAGACATTCAAAGACGATGCTTCAAGTGTTTTTGAAACAACATGGGTAGAGTTTGGGCTTTGATCTCAAGTCCCTGACCAGTGGCTAAGAGCTTAGAGATTTCAGGTCTAGGTATTTGACACATTATCATGAACTAAGTATAGGGCCTAAACTAAGACCCATTCCTCCGACACTGTCGGAGCGTGCTCGACTCCAAGGCCCCATATGTTTCTTCTTCGGGGTCGGACCGTGCCTGGGAGGTCTCCCTCTTTGAACACACACCCATTTGAAGTCGACGTGTTTGTACATCACTTGGGCGAAGATTTCTGCCCGAAGATCGCTCTCAAACTTGAGGCCGGAGCCAGGACGGCCGCTGCAACAGCTGTTCTCCCTGCACGGCTGGCCCAGAATCACTGGCGAAAGGAGGGGAAAGAAGGAATGATATCCCGCCAAAGGATGCAAAAGGCAGAGGTGTTTCACCTGGGGCGTTGGCAAACTGTTGGAAACATCATTGGTTGGGGAGTAGAGCTCAGAACACCCCCGGCCGATGGGAAGCCATTAAGCGAACGAAGCAAAGCACTCTGTCTCGTGTTGTGGCACGCGGGTGAAGAGCAAGGTTTTCGAGCTGAGTAGGATTGCACACACACTCTCAGAGCTAAAGCACATCATCGCCAGTGGACACCAAAACATAGACCATTTTTGTTCGTCAAAACGATTATTGGGGACTCCCTGTCTCCATCAACAGGTTGGGGCCTTCTCGCATGCTTGAGACACACACCTTGGGATATGGGGGATGAGCTGGAAATCAATTTGTGTTTCAGGTCAAGGCTGACCGGAAGCGCCAGAAAGGGTGTCAGCTGAGAACGGAATCTCAGCGATGTCTTGCCCTTCATGAAGTGTTTTTGGGTCTGTGATTCTGATCCGACGGTCCTCGAGTTCGACTCACCCTCTTTGTTGCAGCCGCCCGGCTCAAGGACAGTTCCGTTGTTCTTCCCCGTGAGGGGTTGGTGATTGCAGAGTTTTTGACCCGACGCGATGGTGGCGTCGACGGTGATCATGGCGTTAAACCTGGCCTTCTTGGGGAATCATATACACAACTATGGTGGACACGTGAAGTCTTTGATTGCGCTCTCGTGGGAGTTTCTCAACAGCAGCCTTCGTTCAAGGTCGTCCTGCAAAGATGCAGCACGGGAAGCAAAGGTGAATGAAGCACTCTGGGACGCTTGGATTGACAGATGGCACTTGACTTCTTTTCCCAGGAACTTATAAGATACACCATGACTTGGGTGCGCAGCTTCTCCTACACAAATTCCTCACTACTTTCTGCGTGCAACCTTGCAAAGAAAAACCCTTACTCACCATCACTGCCATCAGTGGTAATAAAGAACAATCCCAGGTCATGAGTTCTATGCTTGGGGGAGGGGTCATCTAGAAGACAAAGGCCAAGTCGTGGTCCAGCAGTTCCAGATGCTTTTTAGTGCCCAAGTGAGGGGACAAAGGGCACGTATGGGCACATCATAAGTTCCTCCAACATCCTCCAACAGGTATCCCCTTTGGAACTGCTCCTTTGTTCTCCAGGCAGGGTGTCATTTGGTGCATTTAGTTACATTCATTCCCTTTTCCAAAGACCTACAGTATCTCAGAAAGCCTAATACAATTCTGAACCGATTTCACGGCCAACATGTTGGGTGTTTTGGTTCAAGTCGCAAGTCGACCGAAATTGCAGGAAACACCACGCCAAACCGGTCCATTTCAGTCCCAAACCTGGCGTCGCGGGCGTGGTGGCGCTTTCACCGGTGGGCGGGGTCCGCCAGGAGGTGCGCGCGCGGACCTACCGGCACTCGATCGAGTTTATGATCCATCAGAGCGCGGTGGCGGTCTTTGGGATGGGCCACGCGCACCGAGTGGATGTGATCGGGAGAGAGAGTAGGGATGTGAAAACAGCGAGCAACAGACGGAAGGAAGGGAAGGTGGAAGTGGGAAACACCACAGAAACTCATTGGTTTGCTGATTCTCGCTTTTTCTTCCATTGTGTTCCAACAGTGATCCAATAGTGCTCACTCACGTTTGGTTCCTTCCTTTTGTGTCTTTCCGATCTTTACAGATGAAGGATCCCATCAGTCATATAACGTGAGGATCTTGGGAACCTCGCACCCGAATCGAGAATCTCCGTCGAGAACTCGTTGTGTTCGTTTCGGGCTCAGCTCGGTGGGTTTGAGAAGAAAGAAACCCATCGTTGATGTTCCAGACTTCAGGTGCTGCATTCCATAAGAATCTATAAAGATCAATAAATTAAAGTGTAAAGTGAAGATGACCTCTAATCGATTTAAACGGGACATTCCAGCTGATTATAGAACTTTTTGCAGACACTGTTTGTTGCTTTTAATTTGGGATCTTTTCTAGCTAATGTGCATGGCACAGAACGAATCGTGCCACGTTCACTTCCACATTGACATACAAATCTAGGCTTCCATGCCAGGGGTGTTAGGGAGACGGCATATACTATTATTAGATCTTATTGGATATAATTAGACTGGTGTTTTGGAATATTCGGAAACTGTCCAGCACGATCATTGCTCTTATGGCAGAAGCCAACTATTTTCCGTTTTGGCGCAGACTCGCAGGCCGAAAGCACACTGTGGAATGTGAACAAGTTTACTGTTTATATGCATCTATTTAATATATATGCATATGCATTTAGGAGGTAACCGGTAACGAATGAGTCAAATGAGTCTTTAAAAACTGAGTATCCGGTCATGAGCCTGTTTTAAAAAAAACAAAAACACAAAAACATATCAATTCCAAGCTGTTTCACGATTCGGGGGCGGATCGGGTTTAGACGCTTCGTACCTTTGGGCTGCGGGACCCGGCAGTGGTGCTTCACGTCAATTTTCCGCTTCGACGAGGCTTCAGCATGAGCCTGGAGCCTTCCTTCACACAACTGGTCCAGGTGGGTTTCATGCTTTCCGTGCCTTGATGATGATGGAGGGTATCGTTTCTCAGGCGCGACGGTGTGAAATAGAGGACATAAAGATGAATAAAATCGACCGGGGAAGTTCAGTCGGGTATTTGTTGGGTCTGCCTTGCTTGTTCAGTTTTGAGACACCTCCTGGCGAACTGAGTCAATCCGCAAGTCCCGGCCGGGGAAGTTGCGGTGATTCATCGCCACACATCGCCGACATGGCCAGTTGCGTTCCGTGTCGTTCGGCGCTTCAAGGTGTACTTGGCACACCACTGCGTTTGCAGTGGGAGATTAACCTTGAACGCGGCCAATTTGAGGACGATTTATATCCTTTTCTACAGCTCCTTGGTGACGACGCTCGAGCACCCCCCAAGAAACCATACGGTGACGGTGGTCCCAGGAGAACGTCAGGTTAGCCGTTGCTTGGGACCTGTTCGACGCATGAGATGAGTTTGGACGAACCGAACCCATGAGTTTTCTTTGGAACCCCCAAAACCACTGGTTGGTAGAGGAAAACCATCTTCCGGGGAGCCATTGTCAAGGTCCATGTGAGTTTTCGGGAGTGTAATTGATCATTCTTTCTTTCCTGGTTCCCTGGTGAATCCTCTGGGCATGGGGAATCGTTATGTTTGCCCACCTAGCTGCTAGGAACCCAAACCCTGCCCGGTCTCGGTGATGTTGTGCAATCATTAAGAAGCACCGAATGAGGAACACCCAAGCCCTACCCCTCCCGCCCACCGGTACCGCACGGTTTTTCTTTATCGGATGGTATCGATATCGCTTGCGGATGGCACACAAGTGCAGAGGTGTTTGACTATATTGAGCACTGTTTGACTATTTAGATTGAAGTTGGGGTGACCTTCCACAGCGGGTGACCTCCCACCGTTGAGCTACGGCTCCCAAGGTCCCCACCTCCGACGAAAGTGCTACCACTATCTACTTCTAGTTGACCGAAAACGTTATTTGCCCCGTGGTGCTAGCTTCCGTCAGGCTCTTTCGTCTTCTTCGTTTTGGCGAATGTGTGGCAGAAGGACGACTCTGGTGGTCGTGCAATCACCAACCAGACCTTCAATGCTGGTTCCCGCATGTGTCCTGCATATAAAATTCAGTGATCACTTGGTCATGGCCCTCATGGGTTTAAGGATGAAGCCTAGACTGCCAAGATGTTTTGTTGGCATTTCTGTACAAGTAGTTTTTTTGGGCCTCAAAAAATAGGCTCCTCAAGCGGCTTCCTCTGCAAGCATCGGGGCTTCGTTGAAGGGTGATTTTTCTTCACCAGCTGAAGAGGCAATGAAGCAACTCGTAAGCAGGACCAAGACATGTTGGGACTGCAGCGTTCCCAAAGAACAATTGTAAATATGACATGCTTTCAGGGTCAGGGCCAACAAGCAGACCTGCTACCAGGCGCTCAACTCCCACTGCGGTCGTCTTCCTGTCACTGATTCTGATTCGGCCACGCCGGCGCTCCAAACCCGCTGGCCAAGGATCATGTCTGTGATCTTCATGGATACCCTGACGGCGCTGCCCAGGCAGGTGGCTATCTCCTGCACGGAAGTCTTCCAGTACTCCATGCAACAGGACTGGATGTGTGCTGCGTGTGCTAAACACGGCCATCGTTGGATGTTTGGAATGCAAGGAAGAAGGAAAGCAGCCGACCACACCACCGCCAACCCAACAGCAGTAGCATCATAATCAACAACAACAACAACACCAACCCAGCAACAACAACTATAACTATACAAGAACAACTACATCAGAGCAAGAACAAGAGCTGGATGTGAGAAGAGTATTTTGTTCAATGAAGACCTCAGTTCCCCCGTCCATGTTGGTCACGTGTAGCGAACGGCAAATCAGAAGCATATGACCATGAATCCATGGTTGTTGGTTGGCCTTCAAGACACGCATTGGGCACCGTTTGTACACTTGAACCCCTGAAACTGCCTGAAACGCTTAGGATGTTTGGTTTATGAGGGAAAAGCGAAACCCTGTTAGCAACATGTATTGTAATTGTATTAATAACCACTTGTAACTTGTAACTTGCTAATCATGCTCACGACTCACAGTGCCATTGATGTTTGTCACCACTCACAATACTACATCTTGCACAAGCTTTGCGGACTGCAGGACATCACCGAGACCGTTGGTTTTGCTTGGGTGCAAGCTCTCGTTTGCGCCGGAATCACCATCTTTTCCGTGGTGTTGGAGTGCCCTGGAAGCCACGAGGACGGTGTTCGATGAGGGACAACGGCAGTGACAAGGGGAACCGGGAGTGACTGCTGGGTTTTGGCCCAAAAGCTGTTCTATCCTTTGTGAGTGTGTGTGTGTGTGCGTGTCAACATGAGTGAAAGCTTACACCACCCATTTATACTGATAGATGGTGTCATTCTTGGTTGTACGCAATGATCAGGTATTTTTGTTGTGACCTTTTCCAGATCAAGATCAACATCAGGTGTATCGGGTTAGACAGTCGTCCACTTTTGTGACGTTGTTTGAGGTATTGGGTGACTTCTCACATCACATCGCTCTTGGAGACGGAGACCATGCTTTCCTCCTTCCGGCGGATGCTGCGGGGCGTGTGCGACGGAGAGGTGCTCCTGGGCGAGGATTTGAAGATCAAAGAGTCTTGGCTCCGAAGAAAGACATCCTCTTTACACGTGCTCGGCCCACGTTGGGGTCTGGACATGCCCGGGCTTTGGATTTACTATTCGAGATATTAGTGGATTAGCAAGGGAGAATGCTAGAGGTGTACAAGGTTCTGAGCCAGACCTGCACAAAAGATCCGAAGCAATCCATTCACGTAAGGGTTGCATGGTCCGGTCCGTCTGGTAGACGTCTCCGTTTGATTCAGCCACTTCACCTCAATTTCACCATTGTTCGAAGTGAACATCCAGCCCGCATCTGACAACCAGGACCATCCAATGGGTCACCCTCCGCTACGTCTACCCTACTGGTCAGTCACTAGATGTCACTAGGCATCTCCGGATTACCCAGGTCCAGGATGATCCAGGTATGTTCGTTTGCTTCCCCGCGATCCGTTCGGACCGCTCCATCGTGAAGCGGTCGACGGATCCGCGCGGTTCCGGTCGACGTGAGCACCAGTAGCGTCCGATCGCTCCGTTCGAGTCGCGATGCCCGACATGTTCCGTTCGTGGCGAAGCTTGTTACTAGTAAGGCCAAGAGCTATGATTCGTAGCGTAGCGTCCTTGCGAACATGGACCGAGGAAGAGGCGGAGTGCTTAAAGCATTTAATGATGGATTCGCGTGCCTTTCAAGGACGGATGCGACAAACACACGTCGGGTCGGATGCTGTCGGTGTTCTTGCCGTGTAAAGGTGGCAACACCACGTGGGTTTGGTCTTGGTAAGAGACTCTCGGCACATTTCTTAGGGCAGCTGTTGGCGAATCCCTCTACGCAACTGGACTTAATGCTTGGATTTTGCTGCTTCCAACTGCTTCTCGATCAAGCTCGACATAACTTGCAGACGGAAGCCGGTCAAAAGAGAGTAGGTCCCCAATGTCAGTTTGACCAAGCCCAAGCCTTCGTACAGCGTGTGATTCATTTCTGCATGTTGAGTAAACGGGTGTTCTCACCGCTTGGACGTTTAATTGATGACAAGAATGCCAGACTGCAATGACATGACCAATGACACACAACCACAGGGTTCCTTTGCCAACGCCGCAACCCTTGTTTGTTTGCGAACGCCTCCCTTGGAACTGAACGACGTGAACGCGCTGCGCTGCGCTCGAGCTTCTCGGGGCCACCTCGCACCACTTGGATGGGCGAGGGGGCATTGCCCATCCTGCTGCGCATCACCGGGGACTGGAAACGTCGGCCACGCCGCAGGAAAGGACTTCCAAAAGTTCCTGGACCCCGAAGAGGTGGCGAGAGAGGTTTTTTTTTCGCGGTTCCGGGGGAGGAGAAGTAGACCCAAAGAGATTGAGGGAACATGGGACATCCAGGGGACCAGGGGACCGCCTGAAGCTATATATATATATATCCATCATCTGGGATGTGATACTGGAAGGGTTCTGACTTGTCACATGGGACTTTTGGGGAATGAATGTGATGGAATGTCGTTTGTTTGCTTGGAACCTTCTCTCAATTTTGTGTCCACCCTACGAGCCGATGGCTCACCGCGAGGATGGAAGAATCTGTTCAGAACGGTGTTGGGAGGCCTTGTTGTTCGTCCCCGGCAAGTGATCCACATGTCCATGCTATCCAACTCGATATGCCAGGGGCGCCCACATATGCCCACATGGCCCAGTAGAAGTGTCGAAAAGGACCCCTTTCAATCATGTAGGTGGTACACATGTCAGCGACCGAGAGCTGTGTGAACTGCAACGCTCGGGCCCTCGGGCGCTCGAGCACAGGACCTGTCTCGCCCGGTCGATTAGACCAGGACCCAACGAAAAGGTGTTTGGGTGACACGTGTTCAGTGCCCAGTTGTGCCACCCGCCTCGACGTTCACCGCCTGGACGGAAGGGGTGTCACCAAGTGGGTGAAAAGGGGCACTGAACGAACCTGGGGCACCTGTCGTAGACCATTCTCACATTGGAATGGTGGACCCCTTATAGGAAACTGAACGCTTCGCAGAACTTGGTAGTTTTGTCTTGCACTATGATGCCCGATGAATGTACTTTGCATAAACCCTTTTGCCGACCCCGTTGCCGCACACGCACGCGCACACACACACACACACCCTCCATTTTGCCTTCATACCGGTAAGAGCCCGCATGCCTGAGAACACCACAAGTGTGCACAGGCCGCTTATATTGACGGTAAAGGTGAGTGCCTGAAGGGTGTTACGGTCATTCCGACGTGACCAAACGGTCGTATGGGAGCTTGTTCCGAAAGGTCGTATGTTGAATCAATCAACCCATGTAGCGAACGTTCCTTGTTTGGGTGGCTGGATGTGGCTGGCATCCATCTCGAAGCTGCCACGAGCCAACGGTCGCAAGGCCACACGGTTCCTCGACTTCCTCCAACAGTCCGAGCGAGACGCCCATCAGCCGGAAGAGCAGCGCACGCGCACACCTCCGTGCTTGCGGATCTCCTTGAGAGGAGCCTCCGATATCCGAGCTGCTTGGCGGTGGGATCGGAAAGGGGTGAGATCCGAGGAGATCCGAGCAGCCAGTGGAACTGGTCACAAAACCACGGACAGGGACCAGTGACTTGGTGTCTCTGGGGAATGCTCTCCATGATTTTCCTCAAGACGTCGACTTGTTGGTGTCAGATCGTTTAATCACGAAAGCTAGCACCAGCTAGCTGGAGTTGTTCTTGCTTTAGCAAGTGAGGGGCTGGAATCCTCCCCCCCCTCGGGGTCAACTCCTCCCTGGGACGTCTCTGGGACGTGTGTATTTCCGCTGGCATGGGGCCGACTGCCGCCCTGCTAGCTTTCGTCACCAACCCTCAGCCTCAAGTGGGTCCACATCCACGCACTAGACAATGCCAGAAGATGCCAGAAGGATTTGTTGTTGTGCAAATTATACCAGGGCCCCCAAGCCCAAATCACCTTTCTTTGTAAGATCTTGTAAGGAATTCTTATTGGACAGCCACCGGTGGCCCGTTTTTGGTGCAAACCTGCTGCAGGTGGGCGTGGATTTGTGGCACGTGCCAATGCGAAGCACTGGTTCGGGCACCTCCCACCTCATTGCTTTGAGGGAAGACAGTGAGGCCCAGCAGGCGATCTCGTCCGAGGATCAACCGGACTTGCAGCTGCCCCCACATCAAGGCTTACCGCGCGGGGTAAGCGCGGGTGGGGCGACGGTGGTCGGGTGCCAAGCGCAAGCGGTTGGGTGTTGGGGTTGGGGAGTGTGGCACCAGTTGGGTGTGAAGGGTTGTACTGTTTGGGTTTGGGTGCAGTGGCCAGCGATGGGTGTTGGTTGCTTTGCATGGTGGATGGTGCATTTCCAAAGGCTATGCAGCCAAATACTTTCAGTTGAAGAGTAGTTGGTTCATCCTGAAAGTGGGTTTTTTGAGCTTAAACCATCCGATGTTTTCTTTCACTACAACCAACTTTGTAGGACGTCACCCATGAACATGCAAACTTTGCTTGAAGTGGTGGTGTTGGCATCACCCAATAAATCACACAAGCTCTGGAATATCTGGAATTTGGGAAGTCCAAAGACCATGATTTGGACCCACGCAAAGGAAGTTTCTACAAGACTTGGGTTCAGATCATATATAATGATCATGTCATTTATATTAAATATCTATAACATATATGTTCCGTTTGTTCTTCCCACCCATTCGGTGGTTTTTCCGTTTTTCTTCTCCCATCTTTCGACCACGTCTTCCGTCTTCGGACGGACCAGGCGACCCGGATGCGATGTCCGAGTTGTCGGACTCGCAGAAGTCCTCGACCTCGTTGCTGCGGAGCTTTCCAGAGCTCATGGAGACTCGGAGCGCGGACGGTCACTGACGCAGACGGGGTTGAGTGGAAGAAACACCAAAAAATACCGGTGCGGAATTTGTTCGGGACACGCAGTTCGGAAAAAGGTTGAGGCTGTTGAACACGAAGAAAGACGAAAACACTCACGGGAAGTTGGAAGCTTCACTTTGAATTAAATATTGACCCAAATCACAAATCGAAAGCCTTCATGAAGACCTGTTGTGGAGGAGCAGCAAAGAGTTCGCGTCCCTATCTTTTTTTGGTACCCGAAACAGGCAATAAAACCAAAGTTTCATAGCCGGTCATGACCGTTCATAGCCGCAATGGCCGACCCCAATCTGTTTTGAGAGGTTCCCCCTGACAACCATGGCCTTTTTCAACATGCAGCATGATGCATTGGATTTCATTGATCCCATGAGGTCCCATGAGGTATCAGGTTTCCAACCCCGCGGCAGCGTCAAGCCGCGTCGACCTGGCCGTCCTAAGGACATGACGTTGTGCGTGGACACCTCGACCCATTGGTTCGACGTGGAGCAGGCGCGGAGCGCCAGCTGCGGAGCAGGTGAGGTGGCCAGGTTCCCCACACCCGTCCACTGCGACAGCGTGGCGTGGCGTGGCGTGGCTGTGGCGTGGCTGTGGAGCACTCCGGAATTGGGAGGTTTCTTTTTTTTTCCCCGCGATTGGAATCCCATGGACACTTTCATTATTTCTTTTCGTGTTCGGTGAGTCTGATCACCCGATCCGAGTTGCTATGCCATCCTTTGAAGATGTTCATGCATGTTCGTGCAATATATATAAGTCTATCGCAATTCGTACCTTGGCCCCCATCATGATCAGTTGACATCTAGATCATCTAGCTAGAATCCAGCGTTTACGCAGTTTTGGCCGATTTTCTCAAGCACTTCGTCGCTTGCTTCAGTGCCTTTCTTTTCAATTCTCCGCATCCGCGGCCTCTTCGCTCGGTGGCTCCAGGCGCATTTGAGCTTCGCGCGGCAGCCCCAGAGCTCCGACTCCTCCATGCCCAGCTTGCGGCGTTTGGTGCGGGGCACCGTGCCTCGGCCAGAGGAAGGCGGAAGCCCGTGCGCGTTGTTTTCCGGCCGTAAATTATTGTAGGGTAGGGGTATGGTCGGGGTTCTCGCGCTTGGTCGACGCGTTTGAAACCTGGTGAGAGGAATGAGTCGATCGATGCTGTCGCGGGATGGGCGGATGGGCGGATGGGCGATTCTAACAACCCCTTGGATGCTTTGAGACGTGGACAGCGACTAGTCAAACGTCAACCCGAGTTGATCAGAGCCATGTAGAGCCCTCCCTAACAGGGGTTGTCTACTAAGAAGTTGAGGGGTGAGTCGTTGCTCGTTGTGGAAGTTCCCGGCACTGGAACTTGGTGAAAGGAAAGCAGTCGACTGCGCAGGAACGTCCTTTTGGGTCTGAAACAGAACGCAAAAAAGTGGTGAACTATGGTGCAGCCGCCAATCACGGCCAGGTATTGACAGATCAGTTGGGTCGTATTGACAGATCAATGGGGTCTGTCCTATTACCTGATTTACCTGTAACAGTCAGCAAACAATTATAACTCTTTTTGAACAAGGCCTTTACTAACCATCATCATCCCGATCATCCACTATGGTTGGTAATAGGATAGACCCATCAGATCAGTATCATGTGTGGCCCAACAGAACACCCTGGGTGATGCGAAGAAAAGAAACGGCCTGGCTCACCATCCCTGGCGCCGAAGCTGTGACTTTCTCCTGCTTGGCACGTGCATAAATATTGTAATTAATATATGAGTGTGTGCCATGTCACCTCGCTGGAAACCAAACCTGACAGCCACTGCGGCAACCCGCACAGACCCTCTGAAGAGGGTGGCCAGTGGCCTGCGTGTGTGGCCTCGCGCCCCGCTCAGGACTGGGAGACTCTAAGAGCCAAGTTGAAGAAAGTCACCGAGGGTGGGGAAGAGACGATGCAGATGAGGAGAGACTTCGGTCGATGCATCGAGCCGAGACTCCGTCGACGCGACTCGCGACTCTGAAAAACGGGCTCCCCATCCGTGGTCCGACGGAGTGTGTTTCAACGCCTGCGGAACTCGATTGCGGCCGAACCGAGCATGTTTGTTTGGCGGTTCGGTGGGACGAGGATTTGGGTTTCTGAAGGTTCGGTGACTCCAAACTCCCCACACCTTTTCAGGAGGTCGGGTGGGTATGCGTAGATTCTTGTTGTACAGATTATGCCATGTTATTAGTGCCATGCATTTCTGGAATTGTCTGAAGGTTTTTGGGTTGTTGGCAGCAAAAGCGAGGTTGAGGTGGAGAGGCTGCCCTTTTTGGACTTTCGAAACCACCGACCGCCGCGGCAGGTTGCGGGACGATGCGCAGCGCACGGTGGTGGCCAACTGCGTCCATGTGAGCGCCTTTCGGCCGCCAAGGGCGACCGACGAGGGCGTGAAGCTGTGCCTGAATTTTAGCGATCTGGTCTTTGAGGAGAAGAACCAAAAGGACGATTCTCCGCTTGGGAGGGAGGGGAGCCGCGAGGCTACAATTAGGTGGTGGACGTTTTGGACGCTTTTCAGCACTGTTGAGGGGAATTGAAAAGGATCGACAGGATCCTTAGTGGCGTTCTAGACAAAGAACCGGATGTGGAGAATAGATGTTGGATTGGTCAATTCATGTCAATTTCCCTCTTTGAAGATTCGCATTGCACCCCTGGGTGTCATCGCTGTTTTCCTTTTTTTCCTTCTCACAGACCGGTGGTTGATGACTGGTGACTGCTCTGCGGGCTGTGCTCGTTGTAGCTTTGCGCACCGAAGGATCTCCGAAAAAGATCGGTACCGAGTCACATTGAAGGGCCTGGGTGGCGTGGCTCGTCCCAGCCAGTGAGTGGAGTAGCTGGGCACCCCGACTCCCTCCATGGATCGCACCCCGTCGAACGTGACTGCTGGTATCTGATGGTATCTGTGTATTTCCACCAGGATTCAATGTTTTTCGCCATTTGAGTTTCCTCCCATCCATTGGTTGGAAACAAGATCAACGCTGTTTTCAATGGGGACTACGTTTTGGTGTGTAATTCCAAGTTCCTTGCATTTGAAACAGAATAGATCCGCTTTCTCCGACTTGCCAGGAGAAAGGCTTGGAGGGCATTGAAGAATAATGAAAGGCTTGGAGGGTGGTGTTTCACCTACGATACAAACAATGATCAATGATCATTCAAGGATCCGCAAATTTTAGGATGCTGTCCTGGTATAGTCGTGGCACAAATTCTCAACTTCAAGAGTGTGCTATTTTCTATGGAACAGAACCTAGGACCTAAGACATGCAGTTTCTTAAGGTGTTTGTTCAGATTTGTGCCAAGATTGGCCAACACGGCATAGCTAGGAAATATATACTGTCTGGCGCGGGTGCCTGCAACGTTTCTCGCAGGGGACCTTTGTTGTGCTCCATCAGCAGAGTCCCCGCACGAGCAGAGCACCGGGCGTTGTGGATGAGATTTCGACGGACGGAAGGTGAACCGATGAGATTTGTCAAAACTCTACAGCATCACAGCATATCACAGCATTACACTCCGCAAACACATCACATGGAAGTGGAAAAACCATGAAAAACCACTGTTTGTAAAGGAAAGTCGTCTTCCAAATGACCATGCATGACTTGCATGACCATGCCATCCACTTCCATGTTAGTGAGCCACAGCGTACAGTGATCGTCCGAGTCCTCTGACGGTTCGTCGTTCATTTTGAAGAACAGAAGAACCGGGGTATCCCAGTCCCACACTCCATCGATGCGCTTTTTGTGACATCTTTACCGATCAGTTTGGGGTGGTTAAAAAGGTAAATGACATATTAGAAATTGTAACATTTTAAATCATTCTATTCCAGTCTCATGGAGTGTCTGGGTGTGGTACCCTGATGCACCGGACAGAAACCGGGATCTCTTCAGTCTTGGCTTTTTGCGGAGTCGAAGACCTCCGCGGGGCGGGTCCAAATCCCGCTGCGCCCCGTCGAACGCGCCGACGAAACCGTCGATCTATGGACATCTGTTCTGCCGCTTTTCCTCGCCCACTGTGGCGGGCACCACGTTTGGGTGGTGAGCAAAACAGGAGCGATGATGCCAAAGCCAGAGGCCACAAAGACCTCAGTGGCCTTTGCTTTCCTATCACAACTTGCTTCTTTGAGGTGTGAAATGGAGGAAGAAACCATGGATTGAATCGCGTACTAGTGAAAGGACATTAAGAGCAAGACTGATTAAGATACCACAGTATACCACAGTCACATTGCCCTGAATTTTTCAGCAACGCCCGGTGTATTGCATGTTTTGGATTGTTTGTACCTCAAGTTTTGCTACCAGCGATCCAGAGTTACACAGCGTCCTCATGCTTGGATTCGTCACGGGCGTTCATTGTTTGATGTTCGATGGTTCAACCAGGTTGGATGGCAAATCTACCATCGCAGGACGACTTCTTCATGTTTGACTTCTTGTTTCTTTCTTCCTGGCTTTTCAGAGGAGCCATCTAGCAAGCTACGGCTGCGGCATCCTAGCTGCTAGATGGACCCCAACAAGTGAACAAACATCTAGATGTTTTAGGATGATTCTGAGTTTCAACAACTAGCCTGAGGGGCCATCCAGTCACCCTGGTTTCACGCACTCCTCCCAACTGGCTGGTTGATTCTACTTGCACTGCGTTGAGGTGGAGATGCACTGCACGCCAGCAGCCCAGTGGATATAGAGCTTTCACATATAGTTTTCTCCCATGAAAACGCAAACCATCAAACGATGTCAAGACCACCTGGTAGAGGAATGATGTCCTCTACGAAGCCCCTCTAAGTATCAGTGAAGCCCGGAAGTTGTCCACTTTGGGTTTGCTTCGTCGACGTCTTTCTCGGCACGCCGCTTCCGGGAAGGTCCGCGGCTTTGTCGGTGGAGACGCCCTTTGCAGGGAACGAGGCCGCACGGAGGACAGGTGGAGGATGCGATGGAGGATGCGAGGATGAAAATATCCTGGACAGGTGTGATGAGATCCACAAAAGAGGAGAAGCGGTGGACTGGTTCTATGAACAGAAGTGGCAAGTTTGGAGAAGGCAAATGTGGAGGAGAATCCAGAGTATTGAGCAGTTTTATCAAGCTGAGTCCACTAGTTCTACCCTTCCTTTGCCTTCTTATGTACTGGACTATATACCGATAAACAAATTTACGAATGTGTATAAGTTAAGTTCCCTGATTTGTAAATGCCTTCCCCTTCTCATATATATATGAAAATGGGCCAAATGATGGCCAAAGCACGTACGCATCCACTCTTTGTAGGCTCCACTTGCAAAGGAATTGCACTTCATAGAATGAGCACTTCCAAGCAAACAAGAAAAGACCTTTCCGGAACCCAACCTGCCCCAACCTACCATATCTTTGGTGGTTTGACTTTTTGGTTGAGGGGATACCCCCTGTCGAGAACAAGCAATGAGTTGTTTTTGCTACCAAATCGACCCCTCTTTTATTGTCAACATGATATGATGGCAACCTACCAGTTTGTGCACCTAACAGAATCAGATCGAAGTTGCAGGGGTTTTCTTTGTGTGTGAAACAGTGCGTCTCCAAGTGCTGCCAGTTCTTCACGAAAGCTAGCACCAGCTAGCTGGAGTTGTCCTTGCTTTGGCAAGTGAGGGGCTGGAATCCTCGGGACCGCCGCATCACGTGAAAACTTCATATGTAGGGGGGGCCCCCCCCCCTGAAAAGTAGAGCCTACCTGTACAGGGTTCCACTCCAACAGCCGATATAGTGTGTCCATACTTGACTGCTTCAAGGCTCAAAGAGCAAGAGGATAAGACTCTGCGCATAAAAGACACTAGCGGTCTGCACCTCTACCGTGTACGCCCTAGTCACTCTTTCAGTGGTAGCGGAGCAGTGATCCTGGAAGACCCAGGTGAGCTCCTTTCCTAGGCATAGACTTGCTAGTGGGCAAACAGCCATGGATTGGATAGACGACTGGGAAGAGCCTGATGCGGATGTGGCTTATGAGCCAGCAGCCTATGTGAATAGGCATGTGAGAAGAGAACCAGCAGCAATAGCAATGACAACACAGGTCACTACAAAGGTGCCCCCATCTTATGATGGAAAGACTTCATGGTTTTCCTATGAGGATGCCATAGACGATTGGTGTGATATCACCGAGCTGGAAGATGAGAAGAGAGGACCAGCATTGAGAAACAGATTAGACGGAGAAGCAGCTGTATACAAGCGTGTTTTAGACAGAGATGCATTGAAGGCAAATGATCCACCAGGAGCCGGCGTAGAATATTTCAAACGAGTACTACGACCATATTTCGTGAAAGGATCAACCAATGTATTCCTGTATAGATTTATGCAATTCGTGCGCTTCAATCGAGGATCAGCTGACATGATGAAATGGATGACAAGATTCCAGATTTTACTCCAAAGGCTTATGAGCAGTTGGATGGACATGTTAGAACCAGTCACTCAAGCACATCCACAGGTCCTAGCTCAGATGCAGGCAGATGCAGCGTTGACTGGAGTAGCACCAACGGCAGAAAGGATTCAGGAAATCATGCAGCCCATCAATGGCAATATGAGGACTTTTCATCAGAACGAATTTCCTCTAGGAGAAAATCTCATTGCCTTACTCATGCTGTCACTTGCAGATTTGTCTCAGGACCAGCGAAACACTTTGACTTCTTTGATGACTCATCGTGGCAGGGTCCTGCAGCAATAAACTACAACAGAGCTGAGGACAGTTTTCATTGAGATGTTCTGCACGACAAAGACTTCAGTAGACAATCCTTTGATGCAGCCGACAGGTGCTGGAGGTAGAAGATCATTCCTCGTGATGGAAGAAGGAGAACTCGATGGTACATTTGGCTATTGGGCCGAAGATGAAGAAGATGGAACAGAAGGATTTTTAGATGCCCTGGACGATGTCTTTTGGGTATATGATGATCAAAACTTCTCGTGGTTCCAAAGGAGATTCCAAGGAAGAAGAGCCAGAAAAGGCAAAGGAAAAGGAAGAAGAAAAGGAAAAGGTAAAGGAAGATCAGGCCGCAGATTTTTCAGACCTCGTGGAAAAGGAAAAGGAAAGAGACGAGGTAAAGGCCATTTTGCTGATGAGCAACAGACAACTTTTCCAGATGAGTATTATGAAGAATCCTTATGAGGACACTTGGGAGTCAAACCAAGTAGCATATGATGCCATTCTTGCCGAAGATATGAATGACTATCTTCAAGGAGAATATGATGATGCCAATGACTTTTGGCAACAGCTTGAAGAAGCATGGTTTTCCCACAAAGGAAAAGGAAAAGGCAAGAGAAAAGGCAAGAAAGGAAAAGGAAAAGATAAAGGAGATGGCAAACAAGATGCAAACTATGCAAATCAACAACAGCCACGTTCTTTGCCTGCACCTTCAAGATCTTCACAAGCATCAGGAGGTCAACAAGGTTTCTTTGCACATTGTGTGACAGCAGCAGCTGAAGTCCATGACAGTGAGGTGAACTTGCTGTCAGGCATGATGACCTCATGTCAAGATGAAGCTGACTGCGCGGTCAACAATGGTGAGACGATCTTCAATGGCATGAGTGCCCCTGTGAGGTACTCTTTGTCAAAGGAGATGCTCACAAAGGCTCCTGATGGCTTTGCGCTTATGAGCGTTGAGGAAGAAGTGAAGGAGATGCAGGCCATTTCATTTTTGACTGAGAATCGCTTCCCGCCGACTATTGCAATCCTGGACATTGGATGCACTAGAGCTATGGGATCAAGGCGAGCAGTCGACCATTTTTGCAACTATGTCGACAATCACCCAGATTGTGGATTATGGTACTCTTTTGAGGCTACCAAGAGCAAGTTTTACTTTGCCAATTCCCAGAAGGTTACTTGCTCTCAGAAACTGGTGATTTACATGTATGATCGTGCATGGACGATCCACCATACAGAGTTCGACATAGTGGAAGAAGGAGAAGTCCCTTTGCTTATGAGCTTGCCACAGATGAGGAACTTAGGCTTTGAACTCAGGCTGACACCTCAACATGCTTATCTGACATCGGTGCCTCTTGGTATCAAATATTTGGAGTTGAAGGTTGCAGCCAGTACTCATCTTGTCTTGGACTTCCAAGATATTGCATGGTATCTGTCTGACGTGAATTTGCAGACTCGGCGCGAGAAGAGTTTTTACTCTCACTTCACTCACTATGAATATGGTCATATTTCTGTTGATCACAATAGTGATGAAGATGTAGCTGAACATGCATATCCTGTGGTTGACTACTGGGAAGTAGATGTTCACAAGAGAGAACTGATACGTCACCACAAGGATTAGAAAGATTCTTTTTCCAGCAACTAAGTCCTGTCCTGTAGACACTGACTTACTGGAAGACTTGCGACTGACAATCATCAAGAAGAAAGGAGGAGAAGAAATCAAGAAGCTAGATGATTGGCGCAAGGCAAAATGGAAGGACCTACAAATTGGCTATGAATGGCGTGGTAGAACAATTTTTAAGTTCAAACCAGATGCCAAAATTCCAGATCTAAAGATCAGGAAGGCTGGCATTGAGCACCGTGGCATTGGTGATCCCGATGCAGTGGTGCGCTCCTCCTCAGAGAAGGTTCCCATTGCAAAGGACAGGGAACCAGGCTTCTCGTCAGAGAAGGAAGGTGCACCATCAAGTGCCGCGGAAAAGCCCGTGCCGCCAAAGTTTCGGTATACTTCCAAGGGTTTTGATCCATTTTGGAAGGGACACAAGTCGAAACCATCTGAGCCTCAGAATGATTTAAAGGGTGATGATCTTGAGGAGTATGCTCCCTCAGAACCACCTGAGAGGCCAGAAGGTGAACTTGTAGAAATTCCTAAAGCATCAAAAGGACCATCAAGTGATAAACATGAACCACTTGAACCAGGTGATGGCGCTCTTGAGCCTAGGCGGATTTCAATCCCATTACCTGGTAGTGAAGTTGTTGCAATGACACCGGCATATAGGAAGATGTTACAGAGACTGGAGGACAAGGTAGAGCTTTATAAGCTTCATGTGAAGCACTACCATATGAGTCCTACTCAGTTTCGTAGACGTGTTTCTATGTTGAAGCTTCCTGACTCTGTTTTAGAGAAGTATGAATCAGTTGTCAGGAACTGCCGTGTTTGTAACACTTCAGTGGCACCTCCGCCACGAGCCAGAGTCTCCGGTATTAGAGCTTCATGTTTTGGTGATGTTGTTTTTGCTGATCATTGTGAGGTTGAACTTCACAAGAACAAGTATATCATCTTACTTGTTTTTGATGGTGCCACAAATCTTCTCTGGGCTACGGCACAGAAAGACCTCATAGATCAAACCACCATCCAAGCATTGAGGCTATGGTCTGATGAGAACAACTGTGTTCCAAAGGCCATCGTAGGAGACGAAGCCTTTTTCACCGATGCTTTTGTTGAATACTACAGGTTCCATGGTATACAACAATGTCCTTGTGGGCCAAGAACTCCTTGGCCGAACCGAGCAGAGACAGCTGTACGTTTGTTCAAACGTATGTGGCATGTTATGAAGGTAGATCTGGATGACCCACGTTTTCGTGGTGTTACGGTCAGAGAAGTGGTCAAGAAGGTAGTGTGGGCAAGAAATTGTCAGTTGACTATCAGTGGATATTCACCAATAGAGATAGCAACTGGAAGACGTCCACCAGATCTTTTTGACCTTGAGACCGCAAGCCCTGAGCAATTGTCAGCTAATGCTGCCGCACAAGATCGTACAAATTTGGAACTACAACGTGTGGCTTTGAGAGCTCATCAAGAAGCGCGACAAGCTCAGGACCTTCGAGCAGATCTTGCAAGAAGGACTATGCCAAGTGACAGTCCTTATTTCCAAGGAGAGAAGGTTTTTGTTTGGACTCAGGATTCATCAAAGTTCAAGGATAAAGGACGTTGGGTTCGTGCCACAGTACTTGGACAAGAAGGAGCTAT